GGATGCTCGAAGTAGATAATTTAGCTTTGAAGTCGTATCCCCTCAGGCTTTCGCCCAGCTGCAGGTAACCTTACTTGTTACATGCATACACCATGTGTTTCGCCACTATGGCACCAATCAAGCTGGGAGTCACATATCACAGGGCTCAAGGAGTTGTACATGAATGAGTCTGAATGAGGTCTTCTCATCCGCTCGCCGTGGCAAACGCCGTCCTCGCAATACTGTCATCATCATCCTCAGTATCTCTTCATGATGATGATTATGATAATGACCAACACCATCGAAGGTCCTCATCGCAAACTTGCAGTGGCCGGTGAACCGTCTTCATGGTTTTCATTGCTGCCACCTGCACCATTTCACCCTCATCACACCTCCTGGGGCCAGATAGCACCGAGGGGCACCCCCCGTGCCCCGCCCCCCCCATCCCGGCAGGCCCCTCCTGCCCCTCCAGGCACCAACCTTCCCCTGACCCAACCACCCACCCACCCAAACGTCAGCCACTTTTTGGCGTGGTGCCCAGGAGGACTTTGCTTTTCGTCTGAGGCCTCCGGCCTCGGCGGATAGGTGCTTTCTTTTCTTCATCCACCATCCAGGCTTTCTCGCCTTGTGTTTCAAGCCTTACATGATGCAGCAGCTTTCACTTCTGTTGTGCTCCTAGTAAGTTTGGCTGACCACGGCTTGCCCTTCAAGTCCTTGCAATGCTCTCGTGTTTGGCCTAGCAGATCATTGTCAACAATGCTTTAGAATTTAGAGCAGCCAAAGTGTTGTGACTACATGACAAGGTGTGTTTGGAGCAGATTTTTTGAGGTTCCGACATGCAGAAATGCAAGGGCAAGCCAGTGGACATCACAATTGCGCAAGGCAGGCTGCCAACCGGAGAGCCAAGCATGGTTGCCTTCAGAACACTTTGCACATACAGTTCGAGCGAAGGACATGTGGGGAGACTCATCGCAATGTCACATGCATTGTCGTTTTAAAGAGATGCGTGCAACAGTGCCTGTAGCAAGCATCATGTCGTCAGTGGTTATGTTCCATATGAAATCATCTTTACCGGCGCTTCTCTTTTTCATCCAGGCACAGGTATCATAGAACACTAAAGGCGCGTGTCTGGAAGGCGTGTTTCTTCGCGCGGACACCACAGCAGGGGTCGGCTCCCTTCCTACCAACCTGGAGGCTTGACGGTGCAGGGATAATGACTTGCACGAAAGCTGGGAAGTTCATCTTGCTTGTTTCCTTGTTGCTTGAACATGTTTCTTTCCTGATTTGGGCCACGAAATACTCAAAAATCCTCTACTTTAAGCATCTAATATTTCCGCTTTGTACACTCTGTCGTGATCTGAAGCATATCGATCACTGGAGGAAAGCAGTGTCCCTTAGCCTGCAGTACATCTGAGGCGCAGCTGACTGGGTCAGGGGCCAAACAGCTTCACTGGAGTTTCCCGAGATGAGTGGTGTCTCAGGGTATTGTTGTCCACTCAACTTGAGGCTTCGTCCATGATGCAGTCTAAACCCCTGAGCCCTACTCCTGTAGTCCAGACCTGTTGTTGGCATGGCCGTGCGCTGTCTTTGCATTTTGTGGGTTCCTTGCTCAGTATGGCTACATGGCTACCACTAAATGCGTATTGGGGTCCGCCTGAGCGCTCTCTGACTTCCTCTTTCGGTCTGATGCTCCATCCCGTTGTGGAAGTGCAGAAATCATGCGGCCCGCGGCCATTTTCGCAGCTCTCGGGCACGCTTCCCGGGTCTCGGGGTGCAAGAAGGCAGGGCCAGCTTGGGCTGCGGGCACACGGAATGCCTTTGTAGGGTAGAGAGTGCTCATGATTCTTCTCAGCTTGGCCACTTCGATCCTTTGACATGGACCCACACTCCGCAAGTAGCCAGCTATCATGTCATGTGATTTGAATACGATGAACACACCCGGGGCCTCAATGTGGCAATGCCAGGTTTCAAGCGACTGAATTTTGTTGAGCGCCAGACGAGCCGGAGCCCTAGGCTGTTGGCACATGAGCACCAGCAGGAAAGACGAGGGACCTGACTTCATTGCAGCATGGTAATTGAACCTTTGCTCAGCTAGATATTGCGATGCCTGAGGGAAGGCTCTGTGTCTTTTTGCTTAGCAAGTTGGTGTGGCTGGCGCGCTGCTCACTATGTTTGGTTTCCGCTTTGCGTGCCAATCTCAAGTGGGCTTGCAGGGGAGCTCCCTGCGCATATCATGTTCAGGCAGCAACTTGGAAACCAGAGTTTGACCAGCAACAGCAACAAAGTGTAATTAGTTGACGTTGGCGACTACTAGAGGCTCATTTGCATCAGAGCAAGCAATGCTTTGATGTTTGTGTTCTAAAAACTTTGCTACGCAAGCACAGCAGAACTTCAAGACTCATGTGTTGATGAGAATGGTCCGTGCCTGCTTCGGACTGCTTGTTGGAGCAACATGGGTAGCTCTTGTGCTCTATACGCAAGCTGGGCCAATATCTGTGATCGCGGGCTTTTCAAGGGACATCGCCTTCCCGCCGTTGGTTGAGGGCAGGGAACATGTCCGAAGCTCTACAGAGCTTGATGCTGAAGCCTCTGACGCATTGAAAGCTGAGATTGTTGTTGAAGATCGCGGCGTGGTCTCGCTGGCTGGCCGGAGCAGCTTGCCAGGCTCCCAACCTGAAGAGTCTGGCAAGGTACCTGAACCAGTCAGCGAAGAAGCGCAGCCTCAAGATCAGATTCCTTCCCAGTCTTCTGTCCTCGCAGGGGGATTACAAACGTCCTCGGATACAAGTGGCAGGAAGCAGCGCAAGTCACAGCTTGCTTACGCGCGATTTCCTAAAACTGGCAGCCGATATGTTTTATCGCGCTTGCGGAAGGTCACACAGTTTTCAGTGATCCCAGAGAAGAAGGCCGTACGAGCAGTAGGCGTAGCGGCGCACGAGTTTCTGCTTGGGTCTGTGCGAAATCCTTGCACATCCTACCTCAGCCTTTGGGCTTTCCAGTCCGAGGCAAGCAGAAGGGCAGGTGTCATGGTGAATCTTCGCAAGCACGACCCGGAGGCATACCAGCGGCTGGCTGGCCGCAATTCTGCAAACGGTTTTACCAGCCCCGAGGATGTGAATCGCTTTCGCAACTGGATCAAGTTCATGGGGCATGCGGATGTCCAGCTAGGGTTGCTCAGCGGCCGGTTCCATGGGAAGTACTTATCGCGAGATCGGGACATGGACATACTGGACAACGCGTTCCTAGTGCGAGGTCTTTCGAAGGAGGCAGCTGCTGAAACTGCAAAGGCACTACAGACTGCAAGTGTGTCTGAGCTCGCAGACTGCTGGTTGCACACAGAATCCTTGGATGCCGACCTGACACGCTGTCCTGGGCTTAGAGTTTCTCAGGGACCCTCTAGCTGCTAGCTCCTCTGAGGTCCCAACTCAGCTGCAACAGCAGGGTCTGGAGAACACTTCCGGGATTTTCACTGCGCGCGCCAGGTCTTGAAAACTTCGAGAGCCTGGGTGGACAGGCGGGACCCCTCTGTTAATGCTCTCGACACCACCCAAGCAAGGCAGATCTGCTAGGACCTTTTGACCTTGTGAAGCTGGCAGGTTCACTGGCCGAGCCTTGGAATTTCCAGTTCTGGCCGCGGGGAGTCCCAACACGGCGGTTGCGAGACCTTCTTCGATGAAGCTACGGCGAGCCTGGCAGCAAATGCAATTATCATCTACTAGTCTACTAGTGACGTTTGTCTGGTCTTACATGTTCTTCGGCTTCAGGCGAAGCTGGTGTTCGAGTTGGATGGTTCCCTCTTCGAGAAGTTTGGCTACGACACCTGCTGTGGCCACCCGCGTCCGGCGTCAGTGCCTGCAGCGGAGCTTGTGCAGCCTCAAGCTGATCTCCCTGCGACATCCACCCTGGCATGGCCAGTGTTGTCCAGAGGGCCGGCACCAGCTCCGCAGCCTCTGCAAACGGAGCATGACATGGCAGCTTCAGGAGGGGAGGGGCTTGACACGCTTTCTCTGTAGAGACCGTAGGCCGTAGGATGCCGTAGACTGTTGCGCAAGGAGTCCACCCGGACTCGTGGGCCTGGGGCGACCCGTTTGCCTCTCGGCTCGGCAGCAATAACACTCGAGATAAAAGCAGGGCTCACGGGGCGCGGTGCAGGCGAATGCTGTCGGCCGGCCGACGGATCACACAATGCATCTTGGGCCGCAGCAACAGCTTTATCCGACATAAACGGATTAGGTGCTTGACAATCTCAGGCAAGGGGCCTTGTGGGACGCCTCGGTCGGGCCTTGCTACGTGAAGGTCCGAGGAAGCCATCCTGTATCATGCGCGCGCACAGCTTTCAGCCTAGCTGTTTTGCAGGTCATGGGCCCGAACGAGCGCAAGCTCCTGACGGCACCTCTCCTGCACGTTGGAACGACTAGCTTGCCCGTGAAATGGATGCATCGAGAATCTATCCTGGCAAATAAGGGGAATCTGACCGCTAATGCGAGACCGCCTCGGCAAAGG